ATCAGCTCAGGGGGTTTTGTTTCTGTTTTTGTTTTTAAACAACCACGACCCGTCACCGTCCTCCCCACAGGCCCAACACAAAGGCTTGGTTTGCTTGTCCACTCTCAGGCGAATGAAGCAGTTGCCTTTAACTTTTCTCTCAGGTCCTCACTTAAACTGCGTGGTTTTGGCTTACGCTACTATTGTCCAGAGTCGAAGAAGTCATTGTTTAGAGCCCCTGGCTCTTGATAAGAATCTTACTAGACCCGATTTATTCCCTGTGGAGGAAAACAGTTAACAAGGTGTCCCCTGTTTTCAATAGGGCAGAAAGCAAAGTGACCCTGTCCCAGTTGTATTAATTGTCAGCCTTCCCTAGCACGTCTGAGTAATACAGAACAGAATCAAGAATTAGTTTTGTTTGTCTCCCCCCGCTCCACCTACCCTTGGCAGAAACGTTGGTCTCCCCCGCCTCCACCTACCCTTGGCAGAAACGTTGAGTATAAAATTCAAGGTCAGTTCAATAGCCATTGCCTGTATGTATATATCGGGGGTAAAAACATGCTCTCTTCGGAACCTAAAAGCTCACTTCAATCTCTTCACAAGCGAAAAGCAGCAACAACCCAAACCTTCTCATTAATCATACCTTACGCTGAAATCAAGAATATGCCCTTTGTTAGTCTGGATTAATTCAGAATAGAATGTCCAACTGAACTGCCTTGAGTGAAAATGATCCCATGAACAAAGAAAAATCACCACTTTCCTTCAATACCACCCCGGACAAGAGGTCAGACTCCCAAGGGCTCCATTTGCCAGATAAACACACTAAATTGAAAGGTGAATGTGCATTTCCGCCTGATGGTGGAACCCACCTGTCACTCGTGAACTAGCACATTTTGCTTCAGGGTCTCTAAACGAAATGCTGAAATACACATTTTAATGCTGAAAATTCAGCAGGATGACAGTGGTCTCTCCCTATGGCACGCCTTTATGGCCTTGTAAAGTAACCTTGGTAGGGGAGGCATGCTTAATAGGTCAGATGTTTCCTATTCAGCAGGAAAGAATCAACTTGCCTGAGTAAAGCTGGGGGAGTGTAGGATGGAGATGATTAAAATGTTTAACAATTTGCGTTAGGGCTTTAACATATATGAACTGAAACAAAAGTCAAACACAATCAAAAACACCTCACAACAAGGTCTAGTCTCATAAGTTCTATTCAGGGGATAAGGCCGAGGTGCAGAGCACCTGTGACCCTACAGTAAAAACATGGGTTCTCACCCAAGACACCGCGTCACAGGGGTCAGCATGAGTGGTCAGGGGAGGAGCTCCAAACTGCTGTCACTAAAGGAGCCTGAAGCTTCACACAGGACTTACATTATAAATAAATTCAGGTGCTCAAAAGCAGTTTCTAAATTAGCATCACTCTCGCTTGCCTGCATTTCTGTTTCCTTGGGTGGGAGTGCAGAGAATTATGACTACTGAAATGACCTATAATTTTGTTGTAGGTATGGGAGAAGGCCTTCCAAATAAGGATGCAGAAGGAACACTGTGAACCACTAACCCAGGAGCCTAGGAATGAATTGCCCACTCGAAGCAACTGTGGAACAACCCTAGAAGGAAACAGGGCAGGGCTGATTGTTTTATCCCTTCAGATGACCAGGATGAGTTCCTAGAAGGAATGTGAGCCACCCTGAGGACAGCTATGGTTGGTGGCTGGTGACACCATTGCATTCTATTCCCACCCTCACCCCTAAGCCCTCAGATAAATGAGAATTACTTGATTCATCCTAGAGCTGAAATTAGTCTCCCAATTGTTAGGTAGCAGCAGCCAGACTTCCCCTCCGCTGAGCTTCTGACAACAGATTTGGGTCCTTTTGATTTCATCAAAAAACTCTGAAGTTGCTTTAGGAAAAATGAGGCATCTGAGAACAGGAGAAACTGCAGTCTCAGGGGATTGCAGAATCCCCACGTCCCCAGAGCCAGGACCTGGAAACCCACAACCCAACCAAGAAGGCCTGTCTCTGGCTCCCCATCTGACTTCTCCGCATGAAATATGCATGTCACGGGAGATCCACCACTCCCTCCTTCAACACTGCCCAGTGGCACTGCAATGAGGTATGAGTCAGTGATAACAAACACACCCAAGGAATAAATTCTTAACATCCAAGGGCAGGAGACAAAAGGGCCTGAGGTAACAGAAAGGGAGAAGAAAGAAGCCAACAGGACAGAAAAGAACTCCTGACAGATTCTGAACTCCTTGTGAGTTAAGAGTAAACCCATCCCACAGTTCACGGAGAACCCTGCCCTCCCGCATAGCCCTGATCTGAGGGCCCCTCTAGACCAGGGAATGGTTCCTGGCCCTCCACGGGGCCCTCGATGGACAGTGCCTGTAGGAAGGGCAAGGGCTTCTTGAGCAAGCCCATGCTGCCCGGAGCACACGCCATGCTGGCCAGTGGAGTGGCCCTCATCTGCTGAGGCTCCTACAGAAACTGGCCAGGACACAGGCGTGCCAGCTGGACACACCCGTACACGGGACGACTGATGCCGACCAACTGCGGCCCAGCCCGCGTGCGTCCCCGAGGGCAGCGCGGGCGCCGCACGGCCACGGTTACCGCCGAGGCCAGGACCGGCCCCTCTCACTGCCAGCGGGACGTCAAACACCCACACACGAAGCTGTTAACCTTCTACAGTGATGAATCGATTTTAAAAAAGACAGGCTCCTTTCAGCTTACAGAATCCTTCATTTTAGGCAAGAAGGCAGCTGGATGTACTTTGGTTTGAGTTAGTCCACTTTCAGACAAAAAAAGAAAGAAAACGGCAGGGGGGTTAGAAACGTGTTATCTGGTTCCCCTACAGGCTTTCCGGTTGGGATGTCAGCGGAGGCCTGGGGGGAGCAGACACAGAGAGAAGCGGCTTTCTCCAGGCCTCTATTTGCCATCCTATTGACGGTGGGTAGTCACACCAAAGCGCCTAAATACAGCACCAAAAGGTCACACCTGGAGGCGTTCAGGCTGAAGCACATCGGGGAGTGAAATGACTCTCCCAACAGCCCTTTGACTAAGCCGCCGGTGGCAAGATTTTGCTCAGGCTTAGGCTTTAATCCTTAACCTTATTTACATGTGAAACTAAAGTCTCACTTTTTTAAACAGTCAACCTCACTGGAAATCAGTAGATAAGATAAAACAAGGACATAAAAAATATACTGCCAGCAACAAAACCAGCTCTGCCCAAGAACTTTCTGGGTATCCCCCAGTGGCAACTAGAAACTATCTTCTCAAAAAATAAGCCATCATTTAATTTCTTAGCACCAGGTAACAACGCCTCAGGTACTGCAAATAGTTGGAAAAAGGAGATACTAGACTTAAAAAAGTGTTTTCCAGATAACGGAAGCTTATTCCCTGAAGTGTTGAGATATATTTTAGCCATTTTTTTTTATAGGGAAAATGTCTCGGGTACATTCCATACTACTCAGGGCAATGAAACAGACTTTATGTTGTAAAATGGTACCCTCCTGACAAACATTACGAACACAGCAATAAGTAAAGTGTGCAAATCACCTGCCTCCCTGAAACAGTACATGTCACGTTTCTGTGCATGTGAGTCTATGTGTTTTACTGGGGAGAGGGCCATATCTAAATTCTCAAAAAGACCCAGGAAAGGGTCTGAAACCGACTGAACCATGAAGAGAAGTAGCCTCTGCCGCAGACCCACTGGCCCCAGGCAAAGTTTTCGTTCTTGCTTCTCAGGGTCTTTTCTGTTTTCAGCCGTCACTTCTCACCCACACTCCTCTCACACCATTTTCGTGGTTTCTCTCCCTCTCACCCTCTCTAGCCTGCTTTTCTTTCTCTCTTCTCGCTCATATTTCTGCCACTGCTCCTTCACTTCTAATTGTGAGGACAGGTATCACTTGATTTTAAAAAATGGTATAAACTTCTTCTGATGAGCAGACCAGTCACATGTCTTCTAAACTGCGGTACTTGCATCCGATTTCATTTCTGCTCAATACTGGGGCTCTTTCCAGTTGCCTGTGGGTTTGTCGGTAGTCTGGAAAGCTGAAGATGCCAGCTGTCTGACTGCTGGGGACATTATGGGAGCAAGCTTCTTGTAGATTTCAATAAGCTGAACATGGACACTTGACCATAACACACACACATCCCCCCAGTCAACCTATAACCTACAGACTACTTTAAGGAAGTTGAGGCACTTTGTCTCTTTCCCAGCTTCTATAAGCATCTGAACTATCTGCGCCCCCAGTCTAAGCTGGGATTTGCAAGAAATATTTAGAGCTTGCTCAGCCTGGCACGTTCAACCATGTTCTATAAATGGGATGCTGGTAAATGAGCCGGAAAGAAAGAAAAAAGAAAATGTTACTGCTTCTCCTTTATTGGCAGATTATGGCAACGTGTAAAATGAAAAGAAGGGAGGTGAGGGAGGCAGGGGAATCTCTGATCACTGGGGAGTCAGACTCTCCTGGGGGCAACAGAAGCCTGGCAACTGCTGAGCCTGCGACAAGGACAAAGTTTCAAAGCTGCTTCACCCCACCATGAGAGAGGAGATGCTAGCTGCTTTTCTTTTCTTGTCTTTTCTTTTTTTTGAGATGCTAGCTCTTGAAATACCTGCACACACTGCTTTCATTTCCTACCTGTCACGAACACTGCATTACAATTTGGGGGGAGGCAGCTGGTCAGCTTTTTACATAACTAAAAATGACAGTGCCATGGAGGAGAGATAGTCCCAAGAAAATCTAGAAGTGGCAGACCTCAGGAAATATAAAAATAACTGAATTCAAAAAGGTAAAAGCATACAGCATGCACAGAAAAGTCAGTTCTCCAAAGAAGTTCAGAGATGAAACAAACAATAGAAAAAGTACTCACATATATCCAAAAGGCAGTAAGATTATCAAGTAGTTGGTCACTGAGAAAAGCCATAACCCCCCTCAGTCCTCCTGTCTCTGCACAATGATGTGGGTACCCATGGGTATCCACACCTGTGGTCCAGGTGGATGTGCCTGTCCAATGTCTTACCTCACTGCGGTCACTGGCTGGGACGCGTGAAGGTCTCGCTTCTTCATCTAGTGGCTCAATCACGGTCACCTCTGCAAACTCCTCCACGGATTCTTGAAATTCAGGTAAGGACCTCCGTCCATAACGCTTCCCTCCTCTAACATATTTGGGCTGAGCTTCCAGAGTACAGTCTGGGCAAGGAGACAAGAGTTGAGGCCACATTACATGACAATCTTAGCCCTTAATTGACAATCACAGCCTTCAGACACAGCCTCTTATACCAGCCCCAAAATAAACCACCACCATTTGCCAGTTGTGGCGGATGTGGGCGTGTGGGAGCCACCAGGTCAGAGGCAGAGAACAGCTTCTAATTCCGAATGATTTATAGCACCCCAGTAGGTCTCAGCATAGGACTGGAGAGATGCTAAGCCAGCAGTGAGGTATTTGCTTCAAAGTGCAGAATTCAGATCAGGACAAATTGAGGGGTCATAGCTGTTCTTCTGTTAAGCTCTGTTTTGTAGAGAAAGGGAAAGCAAGAGGGAGGGATCATATTACCAAAGAGACATGTTGAAGGAAGCCTTGGAAAATGATGATAAAATGAACACCATATCAGCACTGCAAAGTTAGCATTCACACCAATGGGTCTGGAACACACCCTTCTCGTACCTTAGTGACTCCTTTTTTAACCCTCTCATTTTCTGATCCATCGGACAAGAAGGATGACTGAACAAAGAAACTGACACACTGGGATCCTAATCAATTAATGACAGCTTATCACTTATTTGAAACCTGGCATCCAGATTTCATGATAAAATTAAAAGCTGTAGAATAAAATAGCAAATGCAAAATTGCGTTAAGAAAATGGTGTACCATGTGCTTTTCTCTTCAGGAGCTTTGGTGTTGTACAAAATAAAAAGGAATCTGCAAGGAATCTCTTGACCTTGAAGGACTTCAGTAATCTGATATAACATGTCTCAGGTTCAACCTTCACCACAACCTTCACCTTCTCCACCACCACCACCACTACCATCATCACCACCACCACCACCACCACCACCACCACCACATACTAACCCTTCTCTACAATGGTAGCTTTAAAGCAATTAAATAAATACTTCACTCAATGCAAGTATCAGCTCAGATATTTATTTATTTTAGTACCTTGTGCAGAGTTAGGAGAATAAAATATTCCATTAAAATATAAGATTGGCAATGCTTTGATTTCAGTTCTTATCACCCACACAGACAAGCTGTCTCTCTGGAGAACATAATATGCGTTCTGTTTGAACATGACAGTCTTAACAAGATTTGTCTGAACTCAGACGTGCAGATTTTTAGATGAGGTCTGTACACATATCATCAGAACAAGGGTAGCTGATTAGATAAGAGCTAAAAGAACAAAACCCCTCCTTTATCACCACTGAAACCGTGTTAGGGTAGCTATTCTGCAGTTTCCCTGGGAGGACTGGTGACCCTGTGGACTAACTCTGTCCTCCCCCCTCCCAGCCCTTCCTCTAGGATAAGCTCAGATTTCACAAATGTGGTTGGAAACATCCCGAAAATGCTCGGCAAAGCTCAGAGTGAAGTATTTATGTCTGCTCTATAATTTCCAGCGATATTTATATCCAGCTTTTTCAAAGCCCCAGCCAGGTCATTTCATTAGGTCGAGCGATTCTCTGACAGGAAGTGTCCCAAGCGTACAACATTGATATTGAAAGTCACATGCACATTTGAAGGTACCTTTTATCAGAAGAGAATGTGTCAGCTTGTGAGCATTCAGGAGCGGCCCAGACACCCGAGCTACTTGTTGGCAGCTGACAGCCACAGATGCTAGTCAGATAAGAGGCAATGCAGAACCATCCTTAATTTATTACATACTCTTAAGGTTTAGTGGCAGACAACAAGATACACCATTAGTGATGATGGGGGCTTGGAAAAGATTAAAAGGAAAGTGTGTAACGTCAGACGGTGGAACGTGGGATTTTCCCAGCGTGAGAACACAGTCACGGTCTGGGGAAGGAAGTGGCAAAAGAACTCTTCCTGCATGCTGTGCTTTTTCAGAGGGGAAAAAAAAGCAGTGGGACAAAGCAACAGTCTTAAACAAAACAAACACAACAACCCACAGTGATTTAATGAAAAACCCACCTGTGGATGAAGTGGTTCCCTAGTGATTTGCTACTAAATACTCGACGCCCTGTAAGGAGGGGTGGTGGATTTGAAACAGCTCTTTTTATTTTTTAATTGAAGTATAGTGAGTTTACAATGTGTCAGTTTCTGGTGTACTGGATACAGAAGTTGTGGTATATTTACACAATGGAAACAGCTCTTTTTCTAAGCAATGAAAGGTCATACACCATGAACATTAGGGATCCTGTGGGGTTTTGGTTTATTTATATAGTTACTTATTTTTCCATTTTCATTTTTAAATTAATTTTATTTTTCAATTATAAAAACCAATTTTGAGTAAACTGTAAGTTAATAACTTTCACAGAATGTACATACATCACAAAGTCAATTTCTAGAGCAATCTATTAAAATGCATAATCTTTTTGGAAGATATTAGCACACACAAAGGAAAAATGGGGTATTAAAGTCTCCTCATACGAAATTTCACAAACCATCCATGGAGCCAATAGAGACTTAGACTAATCACACCAATTAAAAATAGTCACCTTTTTGACTTAACACATTCACATATCCTTCTATTTAGAGCATCAGCCTCACCACACTTACAGGATAAGAAGGGGAAGAGAGCAAAATAAGGGGGTCCAGAGAGAACACTTGTGGGCCACAGCCATTGCTGTGTTAGGCACCTGAAAACTGCAAGGTTCTCCTTATCAGTCTCAAGCAGGGCTTTCGAAGTGCACAGCGGCAGGCCACTGAACAGGAGACCTCCATGGGGCGTGTAAGATGCTCTTACACGAGGCCTAACTCCTTCCTTACCCTGTCCACAAAGACTTGCCAAACCACAGCCCTGAGGCAAAGTTTCTTTCCTTTATGAGAGCATCCAGGTGTAACTTATGTATTTCAGGGTTTTATCCTGGAACAATTTTATCTATGCCAGATAATATAGGGTTATTTAATTTACTAAGAAATGAAATGACTTACATATCGCTTCCTTGACCATAAGGGTTAATAACTGCTCCAATCATGAGCTCCAAGAGGGATATGAAAGCCCATGGGAAAAAACCAAACATCAATCACACAACTGCTGTACTTCCAGTGTTTTATTTCCTTGAATGTATATTTATGATTCTGCCTGGATTGTCAGGTTTTGCAGCCATTTTCCCTTCTTTCCTATTTTCCCTTTTCCCTGTTTGGCATCAGTACATCAAGATGCAAATGAGCTTTGAAGGACAAGTCCAGCCTGCCCAGAGCAGTCTTGGACTCCTGCAGCCCCTGACAGCACCAGGAGGAGAAACTCCAGAGCTGTGATAATGCTCGCTTCCCAGAATCGGGATGAACCAAAGGGCACATGGATGACTTGTGAGGAGAAGGTCTTGCACTTATGATAAAAGAAAAAGTGGGATACGATGTAAATGAAAGCGACCCCTTGGAACAGGGAAACAGGGCAGCTGCAGGCAGAGAAGACCTCCAGCAGCCACTCGCCCACCCATGCCTCCCCCAGCACTCTCTCTCGCTCTCTCACTCTCTCTCTCCCCCCCACCCGCTCGCCAGCAGGGCAGTGCGCACTCCATACCCTTCCTAGAACTGACCCAGCCACCTGTGCGATGCAGACTGCCCTTTGAACCCTCAGTTCTCCCAATGGCAAAAGGCAAAGCAGTGAGGACCCAAGAGGAAGCTGAAATAGTTACCCAAAAGAAAGCCTGAACACTATTTATTCCATCAATGCTTTTTTTTTTAAAAAAAAAAAAAAGCTTAGGCCTGGGGACGAGGCACATACACGGGAAGTTAAAGGGGAGATTCGAAGGTGCACCCCAGTGTTAGCTGGACTCATTTAATGTGTATTGATTGAACATCTGCCATGGGAATGTATTATGTTGTACTTATTGAGAGAGAAGGTGGATATTTTATCTTTTTTTTGACTCAAATGACCCCATTCCCAAAAATCACCTGAGAGATTTCCTGGATGAAGAAGGAAGCCCTGCCTCTGCGGTACTGATATCCTTATTTTGGAATTGCTCATGCAGACCCTTGCTTTCTACTTCCTTTCCTGCCCCATTTAGTTAGCCTGGGAGGTCATTCCCAGAGACACCACCCGCTGCAGAGGACCTTGGCACAGCGGGAATGTCAGCCTGAGGCCCTCCATACTACCGCTCAGCTCACAGGATTCCTGAAACCCATTCGAAAATGAGAAGTCAAAAATGAAGCACATGCAAACCTCAGGATGGGCACCCCCACGAAGCATCCCTGGAAAGAGGCGGTCAGGCAGCAAACGAGCACCGCCAGCCCCGCCGCACACCCCACCTTCTCGCCAACTCTGAGCACACCACTGCACAGGGATCACACGTTAGAGTGCAAGCCCACGCCCGATACTAAATAAGGGAGAGGGGAAGAAAAGAATCAAAGGGAGACAGAGACAGAGAGAGAGATGGAGACAGAAAGAAGCAGAGAGAGACAGAGAGAGAGACTGAGACCAACAGAGAGAGAAGGAGGTGAGGGACAGAAGATGGGCAGAGAGCTTGAGGTCTCTGGAGGGAGGAGGAGGGGAAGCAGGAGGAAGCGATGGGTTAGGGACCAGCAGGCAGGGGAGGAGCGGAGTGAGGGGCTGAGGAGGAGAGGAGGGCAGAGGTGAGCAGGAGAGGGAGAAAAAGGAAGGGATGAGGAGGGAGATGTCCTGGGGAGTGGAGGGAAGAGGCCAGGAGAGAATGAACAACATAAAAAAGACACCTGGAAAGCCTTCGGACATTATCTGCCATTCCTTCTGCCTCCCAGGGTGCCCCCCATCTCTGTGGGGCCGGGGCATCAGCAGGCAGGGGCCTCACCCCACACTCCTGTGGGCACACAGCCCTCTCCTAGGCACCATGCTCACCCACCATGCCTCTCTCCCCGGATCTCCACGCCACATGCACATGTTCAGGTGAGGCTCATGGGCCCTCCCTGGATGCAATGACAGAATTTTAGGAGGAGCCTCCACATCCATTCTCACCAACGTGAGTGATGTCTCCTGCTGGAATACAGGGGCTTCTGGGCACAAAAGTAATAGGGTGGCTCTGATTAGGCTTGCCTGGAAGGGAAGCTTTGAAGGGAAGGCTAGCCCTCCTCGAGGGGGTGGACGGGTGCAGCCCGGCAACCTCAGGCTGACTGGTCTGACGAGTCTACCTACGCCCTAAAGCAGGTGAAGATCAGTCAACAGGAAGAACTCTGAGCTGATGATGATGATGTGAGAGTTGCCCAGCCTCTTCCAGGAGGACCAGTCTGCCGCTCCCTGTCCAAAGGCCCTGCCTGCATCTTGAGCTATTTTGGGGAAGAAGGTAGACAGTCACTTATCACCTAACTGAATCCCCCTCATTGTTCAAGGCTCAACTCAAAACTCAATTCTTTCAAGTAACTGCTTGGTACAACTTTCACGAAACCTTTTTTTCTGGGAATTTAGTGCAACCCGTGCTGTTGAGTTTCCAATTTAATAATGATGCTGGTCATATTTTTCTAAAAGCATTTTATATGTTAGAATGACCTAGCCAGCCAGACTGAATGCTTTCCAGGGCAGCAAGGCTTCATGGAAAGAGCCTGTGGGCTGTGGATTCAAATGGACCTGGACCTCGGTCCTTTTCAAGGCCAGGAGTACTTAACGTCCTCAGGCTGAGTCTCCTCATTGGGAGGAAGGGAAAACAGCAGGAGATCCGCGGGGCAAGGTCACGGCTCTCTCAGGGAGCTCCTGCCCTGGAAGCTCCGGCCACACCCCACCGGGTCCCCCCTCCCAGACTCCTGAGGGGCCAGCGGTGGCCTGGGACCAGCGGAGCAGAATCAGGGAGAGTCTCACCGCCCCCAGCCATGCAGCAGATTCCTTGACCTCATTTGCTGCGATGGGTAAGATTACTGGCAAATGCAGTGACGTGGTCCAGCGCATCATCTCAGAAACTGCAGCTGCCTCTGTCTCACTCTTGCCCTAATCTTCTCCTCGTCATCTCCAGTCCCTTCATCAGTCAGCTGACGTCAGAGGACACACCAGTTCTCTAAGACTCCCTGTAGAAAACTATCAGTTTCTTGCCCCTGGTTTGGACACCTTCTCACACACTGGAATTGAAATAAACTGACATCAGCACAACAGTTTCATTATCAAAATCCTCCCCAGCCTATTTAATTTTAAATAAGAGGGGTATCTCTCTCTCTTTTTTAAACATATACTTATAATATTTTTATAAAAAGAGAGCCTTCCTACTCTCTGTAAAATCATAACAGTAAGTGTCCTACAGCATAGTGGGATAGCGGCTTAGTCTCCGATTACAGATAAACCATCCTTTGCGTAACCAATACGCTGCAAATACTTACGCTTTATATATACATGTATTTTTAAAATTTTACTGTTTTAAATGACTGTACTTAACGCACATCTTTGTGCACATCCACAATTATTTCCATAGCATAAAATCAGAGAGTGACATTGATTAGCCAAAGGCACTTACAGTTTTTGGTGCTTCCCGTTTTACATAATTCCAAGAAGGTCCTATCATCCTACGTGACCACCAGTGGGCACGAGTGTTTCCAGTTTCCTCTGACCTGAGGAAATTAACCCTCCCACTGTCTTTTTTGGCAGGGGGGAGGTAACTAGGTTTGTTGGTTTGTTTGTTTGTTTGTTTATTTATTTTTAATGGAGGTACTGGGGGTGAACCCAGGACCTCATGCATGCTAAGTACGCGCTCTACCACTGGGCTATACCCTCTCCCCCACCCCACATTGTCTTTTGATGGTGGTGGTGGTTAATGGTAGTGATTTTACCTTGCTTTCAACTTTTGAAGAAATTTTCTGTTCCTCACTGTTAGCATCTCATATATACCAAGGGAACAGGGAACTAAGTTCTTACTTATCTCACTCGACCAGAAAGAGGACAAGAGAACATGCCTGCTGGGCCATCTGTGTGTATCTCCTAAAAACAGGGCCTTCAGCCAGAGTTCAGGGCCTGACCCAACTCTGAATACAGTTTGAAACACAAATCTTCAATCACTGTGAATCGGGATCTCGCCCACTGTCTGGCCATAAGACCTGCTTCAATGGACACTTGCTGAGCGAATGAAGAGATAGGTGTTTGTTATATTTATAGCTTCTCCAAAATATAAGGAAAATAACTCAAAGTAGGGCAGTTCCCGGAATCAGGAACATTTATGACCCAAAACCCTCAATCATCTACACTGAAACCATGCCCTTCCTGCCTTATTTTTCTAATGATTTAGCTTTTCCAAACTTGAGTTTTCCCTCCCAGATAAACAAAGGAAAGACACTGTACATGAGCCACGTCAGGGAAAGAAGGGGCTTTCGGCTTTATGCTAACATCTACCACAGAGCAGAAATCTAATGCAAGATGCATCAAACAAGGACAAAACCTCTGGGGAGCAGATCCGGACAGCATGCTGATACCATGTAGCTTAGAGTCTGTGCCAGTATTTCCACTACAAAAATCCTACAGCCCAAAGCTATAGCAAATTGAATAAATAATAATAAAGTTGTTGTCCCTCCCTTAGTCTAGGAAAATAACTTAAACATTAAAGTGTATACATAGAAACAAGGAAGCTCTGCCACCAGCAATGCTGATCACTCTGGAATTGACACAGGACTCCCAACACCCCCAATCCATTTCTCTGCCCTTATCTGAATTTCAGTGTTTTTCACTGTGTTGCTGTTACTGTTGTTTTTGTTGCTTTTTAGAGGAAAATCTCTCTCCTAAGAGTCTTAGAAGCAAGAGCATCGGAGTTAAAAAGATGCTGAAAACCATCTAGTCCACACCCTTTAATTTTAAAAATAAAGAAACCGTATCTCAGAGAAGTTATAAATGGCAGAACCCAAGACTATGGAAATAATTACAATTCCATCTCCTCTCAAATCCCATGATAGCTTTGCTTTTGTATGATTTATAAAGAACTGCCTTTTATTAGAAGAATATAATGGCATAAAATACACTGGGCATTTGTCCTTAGGAAGCAGAAATTTACGGTGTCAGTTTATGTTGGGTAAAATCTTACGGAAGCACAAAGCAAGCTTTTCTCATAATGTAGATGTCATTCAGATATTCGGAGACAACACAATTGAATCTTGGAGCTAAATGGATTTTAAGCACTTTCCAGTACAATTACCTTCACATATGAGGTAACCAAAGACCACAGAGGCTGTGATTATAAGGCCACCCAAAGAGAGGGGCAGAGCCAGCATTTCATAACTGCTGGCTGAAGGGTCTTTCTACCACATCAAGCTGGATTTTCTATATAGTCAGGTGCAGCATCTGATATTTTTGACTTATACAAATCTTATAAAGTATCAATTCATGACCCACTCGGTGCCGAAGGCTGTGCACTCTGACCCTCCTATTTTTGCTGTCACTTTCCATTGTTTAAGGGTAATCCTTTCTCTCCAAGTCCAGTAGGCCCGCTGATTTCAAAAGGCAAGACAAAAACGCCACAGCCCTGGCCCCTTATTGTAGAAGATGAATTAAGTACAGAGCAGCCAAGTAATGCTGAGGACACAGGCATCCCTGTCAGCGCGGGTCAGGTGAAGCTTGCTCTTCCTCCCTCCCTTTCTCTGCCTCGGGCCACTGGTCAGAACCTTTCTGGCCGGGCTGCGCTGCCAGGACTGGGTTGCCCCCAGCTCACCCACCTGAGGGCCAGCATCTTTACACCAAAGCCTCCTGGAGCCCAGCCCTGGGTGACACAGCGTCAGCGTCTTCTCTGCCGCGATTTGTGAGACTTCAGTTAAGCAACATCCCTCTTTCAAGCCTCAGTTCGCTTATGGATAAAACGGCAGCGTCCACGCCAGGCCGACAACCACGCGGCCTGGGATTTAAGGGGTAGTTATCTTCTGCAAGGGGAGGAAAGGGGGGAACTCAGGGGCCTCCTGATGCACAGAACTTGAGCCCTGACCTTTCCTGCTCTGTCTCCCGCCAGCCAAGCCAGGCAGCATGTGCGGGTGGAGTCACGGGGCAGCGTGAGTGGGAGAACATTTGAGGGAAAGAGGTGTGTGATCCCCAGGACAACTGGAAGGGCCAGGGAGTGACAGGCAGGAGACAGAGATGCTCAGGAACAAAGAAGGGATGACTCCCAGGCTCAGATGAGATCAAACTCTTAAAGCACAGGCTTAATCCTAGATTTTACTGGGTCGAGTCAAACCTTAGGGGAGTCCCACATATGCTGGATGAAATGATATCAATACGAACTTGGCTGCCTCATTACACTGATTAGGGGCAGCTCTGTGACAGAGGTTCGCTGCAACCCACCCAAAGGATGGAGCACACAGTGAACTATAAAATCCTTCTGCCTGTCGCCCTGGAAGACTTGTCCAAATCATGGCCTCAGGCTAAACAACAGTAACTATGAAACCAGCGTCTGGAGCTGGAGCTGGACTCACAAACCTACTTCCTGGCTGCCAGCAGGCTGGGCCAGCCATCATCCACCTCCTCATCCTACTCTCCTATTATTCACATCCCAACACTGCACAGCTCCACAGGGCATCCTTCGCATTTGTGGTTATCATCAATTCTTGTATTTATTATGTCAATTTTTGGGCAAGTAACAATACAGATTTTGAAGAAAGGGCAGCAAAACGATCCCATGGACTAGTGGCAGGACTGCCTGTCCCAAACCCGCAGAAACCCCATTACAGGCACAGAGAACACTGAACTTAAGCTTATGGTACCTACACTCATATTAACTAAAAAGGGTGGGGTGGTGTCACCAGAGCTCTAGTCAGGGTGCCTAGATCTCACACACTATTGTTATCAAGATGACAACCTTAAAAAAGGAGAACTACCAATAACATGTGAGGACCACCCCCCCTGCCATAAGCACAAAAGTCCATGTTCCAGCAGTGGTCACCCACAGAAATTTTACTTTTCGTATGGAAAATCTCTAGAATGCAACAACCTCCCTCCCAGGCCCACTAGGGGCTCTTAGAGAGCTCTGGCAAACTCCAGAGTTGACAATAACCTTCCTAGGGGTGGTCACCATTAGCAAAAAGGGGGAGGTGCAATCTGGAATCCAAAGCACTGCTAAATGCAGAGTTCACACATGTGACACAAGTCTGCAGTGCTGCGGAGGGGACAGGGAAGAACTCAGTGGTGAGGGTAAGAAATGAGCTCCCAGCTGGGCTTCTCCTGCACAGGTCACCCTGCACGACTCCTTGTAGTGACAGCATGTTAATGATTTCACTTCAGTCTCAAAACTGGACCACAGTTTCAGTGTCCTCTTTTTTTAAAGTCATTGAGGTTTATTGAGGTAGAGTTTACATAGAGTAAATTTCACCCTTGTGGTGAGCAATTCTGTGGGTTAGAAAAGCTTGTAAAATCTGTAACTACCATCACAATCAAGTTATTAACAGTTTCATCACCTCCAAAATTCCCTTGTGCCATTTTATAGCCAACCTCTAACCTTAGCCCCTGATAGCCATGGATTCTTTTTAATAAAACCAGACTGTACTACAATATAAATTTCAACTCTTTTTAGACTTCCCCTTAAATATTTACCCTATTTAATTGACTCTAAAACATAACCTGCCCCTCTCCGCACCCCACCCTCAGATTTGAACATTCTGAAATAATGAGGTGTCTTACAATCAATGGCATTATAATTAGGAAGAATTTTTCTTCTTAGAGATATATAAAACAATGATGGGTCATAATTTATGGTGCCTTTACAAAAAAAATATGTGAAATATAATATCAAGTTTTTCATTTCATACCATTCATTGAATACTTACTATGTGCTAGGCATCCGACCGGGCACTAAAAATACTAAAAGAGACAACATGGTCCACAAGGAACTACCACTTGAGAGGAGGAGCTAGAAAAACAATTGCCATAAAACGTGATAATCTCGATAACAGAGGGTCACTGCCCCACTAGGACTGAATAAAATTATCTCTACGCTGGCCACCCTTCTTCCTTCAGACAAAATTCTCCCCAATTCACATTGCTCCATGTTCACAGGAAAGGAGGACAGAGGGAGCTCCACGCTGCTCACTCCAGGAATGAGCTACGGCCACACCATCTGACACATCGCCTGGGAACAATCCAGTTATTTCTTCCATGATTCGCTCTTGTGGTGGAGAAGTCTCATCTAAGTGCGTCACAGCTGCAAGGCTTTTACGACAATGTCGAAGGACGAGTCACTGAAAATAGCTGCTCAATCTAAGGGAGGCAGATGCCCCAAATCTTTTACAGACATGCTTCCAGGTCCCCAAATTCTTCCCTGGACAACTTTGAAAGTGGAATGAAGAGAAAAAAAGTTAATGTCCTTACCTGGTTCTTGAAAGTGTTCTTCATTTGATAGCGTTCTAGACAGGATAAGGATTAATGCTTCTTTAAACTGGTCAAAATGCACCTAAAAATAAACAATTCAAAATCAATTCAAAATAGTTTCCATAGCCTTAAGGAAGCAAACCCACCTACAAGGTTTCAGAGCCATTTGTTGGTGTCCTGACAGCCTCAATGTAACCTGAGTCACGTAACCTGTTTTTGTTCCATTTTTCCTTCGTTTCTCTCAAGCACTGAAGAGAAAACAGGCTGATCATTTCTGACAAACCAGTGTCACAAACATTAATATCAAATATTTATTCAACCCTGAGGGGGGAAATGACACAGCAAAACCCTCTTTATAAACTCAGAAACAGATAGGTTTTGAACCCTTAGCTCCTTTTATTTTTCTGAACGAGACCAGAAGAAAAAGATGTTAGGTTAGATATTAGGAGAAACTTCCCAAGTAAACGATCCTTTGTTACAATGTCCCAAAGACGCTTTCATCTCTTAAGACATTCTAGAGAGGAGTAAGCTATCTTTCAGGATGACTTGAATAGAGTCTTGCCTGAGGCAGGTATATAATATTAATCTCCCAAGGCCCCTATAAACAAGCAGAAATCAATAGCAAAGACAAAGGATAAAAGAACCCTGGGAAACATTCTCCTGAATTCTTAAAAATACAATTACCCTGACTGAAGTAGGAAGGAACGTGAGTTTTACTTAATACTCAGTTAGAATTGGGATATTATTTTGGTTAAAAAGGTAAAATCATTTTCTTTATGGCCAAGTATATTCTTCCGTAACTTAAATTTATGTAATCTCACCATGGGGCAGAAGGGAGAGGGTTTTTCTTCCCACCATAATTCTAGTTTGATAACGTGGCACCTATTATACAGAAGCCCCTATGTAAATACAAAGTTGGTAAATTTATCATCTTTGCTGCTGTGGGTCTCTTTGGACATCATTACAAAACATTGCCTAGAGGTTTCAATATAAGGGCCAGATAAAAACCACTTTCGAATTAAATTTGAAAAAGTAGCAAACCTCATTAGTTATTTAAACAATAAAAGAAAGAAATCATATCTTATCCACGCAAATCAATGCAAAGGAAAGAATCCACTGAGATGCGTATGTCATGAAATCGTACATGCTTGCAATTTACCACACTCTCCGTAATACATGATTTCTCTACCACATTCATTTTGATTACTTGAAATTGCTTTCCAAAATCATATTCCTTTAGATCACACAGACTAAAAATCAGCATATTTATGGAGCCAGAGCAGAAGTCTGTTAAGAGAGGGAGGGTATCTGCTAAGGAGCCAAGGTGGTACAATCAGTGAAGGATTAAAAGATTGTAGAACTATAAACTGTGCTAATTAGGTTTCATGGCTGACAAATCACTGAAAAGCCTTAGGGAGGGAGGGAGGCCCAGTCCTGCCAGAGTCAGACATGGGCTTCAGGCACTGTGGCATCAAGCTTCAGATATTAGGGGCAAGGCTGTCTTCCTAATCAGACAACCCATAAACATCACATACCCAAGCCTCTCCCACTGAGGTGCATCTCCCACCCCGGCATCAACTACTGCTTACCAGAATCATGCCTTCCTCTCAGGGTGGGCAGTAGAAGGGTTAGGAGCGCAGTCTCTCTGCTGCAACCACCTGATTCAAGGTCCTGACTCTGGCTCAGCCACTCACTTCCAGCTGTGAATTGGCTAAATTACTAAACCTCTCTGAGCTTTCATTTGCTTGTCTTTAAAAATGGGGCTATCTAACAACTAATGTTTATGATTCATGCAACAGGTCTTTATTGAGCAACTGCTATGTGCCAGGTCTCACTGGGATGGAGCGCATATTCTCAGGAAGTGTCCTGGGGGTCAGGCGGGTACTGTGCTAAGAGCACAGCACGGATTTTATGTTGTTAGCACCACCACCTCCTCGCAGCGGCTTGAGGAAGATAAAATGAGAGTTGTGTGAGGTGTCTAGAGCTTCCTGGGACTTGGCGGGCACTCAGGTAGGTAGTTGACATTATAATAGGAACAGTCATGGGGGTGACTGTTCTCACCACTTTTACAGAGAAACGGGGCCATATTTTCAAGTAAAGCAACGAGGCTGTGAGAGTAACCAAGCAAGCCAAGTCGGGGAGGTGGGGTGACCGCAGAGGCCCAGGAGCGACCCCCCCCACCCCAGATCTGTGCAGCTGCCGGGCATCAGAGGAACTGATCCAGTCTGCCGTGTTCTGGGGCCCCAGCTCAGCAGTTCTCCTCTCTCAGGGAGCCCGTGAAGCTGGAGTCTCTCATTGCCACAGTTAGTGAGCCGAACAGAAGGGGGCTTCTGTTTCAGAAGGGAGGCGCTTGCCTTGAGACTTTCAAATCTTTTCCATTTGACTCTGCGGGTCTCTGCTGGGGCTTCTCAAGGTGTTAGTTTTGCTAGAGGTCACTGGAAAGAGCCCTTCTGAATTTAGTCCAAACACAGTTCAGCTCAGTCAGTATTAGCCATGCAGGTCACTCGGGGGTCTCTGTGTCTCAGTTTTACTCCCCACTGAAAAAATGACACAGACACCTATACTCTGGAAGTTGATTCTAATCAACTTCCAAGACTGTATGAGTTATACCAGAATCAAGGGACACTTAGGCCTCACACAAACACACCCAGTTCTGAGACAGTATGAGCCTCCCTCACACAGGCAGCTTTTCTCGCAGCCTCGGTGATGGAGAGCATCACAGCCGATCGGGAAGCAAACAGCGGTGTCCAAAGTGGAGGAAGGCGTGCTCTTCTCGTGGAAAATGCCGCTGAACCAGCTCAGGAGCTATTTCCTCTCATCCTACCTGATTTACTACAAGCGTCATTTCTCCTGCTTCCCAACCCACTACAGAGTAGAAGCAGCAACAAAAAGACAGGGCACTTCAAGGTAAGGACAAGAAGTCACTACTGACATACTTGGGTCAAGAAAAGACATTAACTATCCTCCCTCAAACAAAAATAAGCATAATTTGTTATACTTAAAAAAACTTTTTAAAAAAAGACATATGCACTTAAAACCTAATAGGCTGGGGTTATTGAGTGCTGAGGCAAGGAACTGCACGCTGCTCAATAAATCCTGGAGGTACTGCTCTTACAATACAGAAGAATAACTGATAGACCAGGACGATGCTAAGTGATCAAGAATAACTTTATGATGTTTATTAAACTCTTTGGTAGGGTAAAACCTCAATAAAAATTTTTCAATCCCCAATGGTTAAATGGGGTAAGGGATTCAGTTATTCAAACATTATATTAATGGGGGTTCTGGATAATGCTGGATAAGTGGGGGTATTATTGTAGGTTTGTCCTTTCTCGGACAATTGGCCATTTGACTCACTCACATCCACAAGGCATCCCTCCTTAGAACTGTGAGAAAGAGACTCAGAGAAGGCCTGTGTCCCGCCCAAGGCCACACGTCTTGAAGTGACAGAGTTACTTGGAGAACCAGCCCTTCTGACTGGACTCATCAAAGTCCAGCCACCCTGCCTGCCCCAGGCCCACTCCACTCCTGGTCTGACCTCTCAGGGAAATCCCTCTGCTGTTCTAAGTCAAATCTTTGACTTTACACAAGGCCACCATGTGCAACGCTGGACTGTGGGACTTTAGGAGACACAAGAGCATGAAAAGCCATAACCTCTGCCCTCAAGTGGTTTACCAGCTACACTCCAGATTCCAGCATGTGTCAGGGGGTGAACAGGAAGGAGAGGGGGAGGTGATTAGTAAGCATGAGGCGGAAGCTGGTAAATGCTTTGGGGGGGGGGAGCTGGTAAGGGTCTCTGATAAGTAAGCATGTCCTACTAGGCCAGCAGAGGGGGAAAGAGGGCCAATTCGACTTCTCCAAGATAGCCACAGGCAGAGCTTAAAGGCTTCCATGGACTTAGGATGTATTAAATCAGCAGAACTGTAGAAGAAAAAAGGTCTATAAATGACTACATATGATTATTAACCAGGAAGCACTTCATAATCCAACAAAGTCCATCTAGGTGCCCCTTCTTCCCTCACAAAAAGAATCTTAAATCCCCAAACAAAAACCGGGCAAGCTGATCAAAACTGGAGCAGCTTTAAGTCCTAAATTGATCGTCATTTTCCTTCTTGCCAGGGCGTAGGCACTGGACCTTCCACTTTAAGTAGCAGTAAATTCCATATCTTTCAAGAAAGTGCTCTAATAGAGGCAGGTGATGGCTATTTCCCACCAATGCTCAGGAATACCGATGGGCTGGAAAAGCCCCTCAGGGCACAACCCAGAGCCAAACCGTGAATAAACGCCCTCTATTGTGAAGAAATGCGCATCAGTGCGCTCACTCAGTTCAGCCCCTGTAATTTTTAAGTAGCATTTTTCTCCTCCAAGGGAGCTTTACTATTGTAATCTGTTAAAATTGAGAAATCTTCACAAATATACAATGCAATTAAATCTCACACGGTAACTAGCTTCCAAGCCATGCCTCCCTTGGTTGGTACCCCTTCATTTGAATAATAATTGCTGCCATTCATTTTACAAGCATCCCTGTATCTCGTTTGCCTCTAAGGGCAGTTTGCAGCAACGGGAAAATTACATGACTGACTAAAAACACACATGACATTTAAACTAAATTAACAGGAAGGCCAGTCAAGTCTGATATTTTTTGACATCTGTCATCAGTGCTTAATAGAAATTTACCTCATCATTTTTCCTCTCCAGATTTCATAGGAATGCTCCATGAGAAACACAACTTGCCTTTCTGAAAAAAGAACTGAAGCACCGTATCGGAAACAAATGCTATTTCAAACCACAAGAAAGAAAAGCCTGCAACAGGAAGTAGAATAAGGAACTTAATGTTGCATAAAATCATCTCATGCAATCACGGAGATCAGATGCACACGGCTGCCCCGTGTGTGCAGGTAGCGCTTCACACAGACCCGAGATGAGAGGACTCAAGTCAGCGTTCAACCAAGTGAGTTTATTAGACCAGACAAAGGCCCATGTAACTATCATCACAGTTAGGAGGTTTGTGTCTATCAATACAAAGGGAAATCAAAGAAAGAACGTTAGAAACACGAAGTGTTAGTGGAAATGGGCATAGAA